GTTTACACATCACTAGACTTCAAGGTCATAAGATTATTACATTTTATTTGAAAAAGTAAGGTATTTTATGATTTACTAATATATGATTTCATAAGAAATTGGCCATGTTTAATTTATTTTGCATTTAAGTTCGTAAAACATTTAAAAATCATGGCTCATTTGGAATGGGTCTGGCCCATGTTAAACCCCATTTCCCACACTTTTTGGAAAAAATGAACTACTGAATATATAAGTTTAACTTTTATTTTGACACCCCAAAATTCTTCTCTGATCTCGAAACAATCAAAGTTTTGACATATATTTACCAAAAGATAAGAAAATTCATGTTTCAAAGTTATCGATAAACAGTAGAGATGTCGGTTTTCTTGGACTACAAAAATGGCATCAAACTGAACTTTGGTCTCCGATTTCTCGCAAACGGGTTCGAATTTCGGAAAACCGACTTCAGTCTGGGACATAGGTGGCTCAGCTCTAGTGAAAACCGTTTTGTGGAAAAAAGGTGGCAGTCTACCTTTAACTGGCCTCTGATAGTTCAGCCAAACTTTTGAGGCGACAGACTTTGCTAACCCCAAGCCGGCATCTGAGGGGTCGCAGCTCACGTGTCCCTCTGAGGTCCGCAACACATGTTTATTATGTCCCTGCGTAAGGTTTTTAGGGATTCGACACAGACCCCGAGGGTTCACACTGTTATCCGAGGGCTCCAGGCTCACCCTGGGCCTAGTTTCTTAGCGCCCGCCGCCCACACTGGCTTCTGATGGCCTCACCTTTGGCTCGGAAAGCCCTAAAGCACCACGTACACGTAAATATTTGAGGTGACCCACGCCGATCTCCGGGATACTAAGCATGCTTCTGAGAGTCAGCACTGACCCTGAGTGGCCTGAAATGGCCTGGAAGTCCCAAACCTATCTCTAAGGGATCCCTTGCCGCTATGCCGTGCGTAACTTTTGGTTCCGTTTAACAGTTTTTGTTCGCGTTTGCAGCGCTTCCCTTCACACGAAAAACGAGAAACTTTTGTTCACACTCGAGTGAACAAAACACTTCCTCTCACTTGAGCAAAGATGAATTACTTCCGATTCACACTTCCGACATTCACTCTCCGTCGAATGCCCAACTTAGCTACGATCGGTGGCTGGGGTAAGTCCTATGCATTTCACGTAATACCTCTGCATGCATGCGTGAATGGTGGTTTTAGCAGGGTGATCCGATTAAATGGAGCGTTTTTCACCTTTTTCTGGGTAATGATCATGAGCGTCGAGCGTCTACACAGGGCCCCTCTGCAGTGCGTCGACAATCGCAGCCACTATATATACTATAATTCTACCAGTCGTTTTTGTCATAAAATTTAAAAATTTCGATTTTTTCTGTAAAAAATTACACGTCATAGCTAGACGAAAACCTTGGTCACCATCGGATTCCTCGCACCATTGCGCGTCGAATGATATGTAAAACGAATGAGTAAAGACTGGGGAAAGGCAAGTTTTAACACAAAAGTTGATTTTGCCCCCCCAACCGAAAATCTCTGGCGACGCCTATGGTGTTCAGCGGTTCCAAGAACAATTTCATCTAGTTCTGTACAGCCATGACGACTTTATAGACAACAATTTTCAGAATGGCAATGTGGGGTTTTTTGGCCGGGACTAGTGGGGCAACTTGGCCGGTGCGCTCAGAGTCACTATGCTGGGACGGCCGAGTTGTCATGGTCAATTATGCCATAAAGGACATAGTTCATGACCAACTTTGACTACCTTGATGCCATATTTCCTATTGGACAGCTGTAAGGGCATGTGACGTCATCAAAGGTTACCTAACGCTTTTTTGCTAATAAATACTTACAGAAAAAAGATACAGCCGCGCAAATGGTGTCATTGTGTTCAGCTCGTCAAGGCGAATCGAATGATATACATGATGACCTTGAACTCACGTAACCTTGAGGTCAAGCGACCTGAGGTAACGTGACCTGAAGTCAACCTTTGACCTTGACCTCTCGAGGTCAACACATACATGTTTCGATGCGGAATGACGAGAGAATTACGATGGTACTTTTAGTTTTGGCCTAGCTTGATTACTTCAAAAGTTATTCGTAAAAACTGTCATCGCATCTAGAGCCGCTATTTTGACTATTTTCGACCCCTGTGACGGCTGAGTCAACCTCCAAAATGCTTCAAATGCGTCGTAGGACACGCGTCATTGCTGAATGTGAAGCTGACTCGCCTATAACAAAAATCATGGCCTCAAACTAACACCGGCCAAATTGCACCACACCCCCGGCCAAATAACCCTGCTAGTGGGGCAATTTGGCCGCTTTGCAGACCTTTGTAATACGTCACAATTTCAATATACCGGGTGTCCCAAAAGTAAGGTCATGATTTAAAACTTAAATATCTCGAGAAGTAAGAGTCCGAATCACTTCCAATTTTAACACGTGCAAGGTACATCCATAAAATTATTTTCTTGCATGCTTAAACCATTTTTGATCATAACTACACCGAGCAGTAGGCATAAAACTGAGAAGGTCGAAATTCAACTCTTAGAGAGGGTCCGTCATTAAAACAAAGGGTAAATGCCGCCCAGTTTTCGGCCCTAAGCAGACCCTATCAGCTCGCCCTATCTCTGAACTCATGCATAGTTTCGCCTCAACCGGTAAAACGTCAGAAAAAAGGTATAATGTACGCACAGGGCATGTATACTTAGCCACCTGTGCTTCGAGGTCCTGAGGACGACAGCGGGAATCGGGTGACAATAAATCAAGAGAGGTGGCCGAGAGTCCTCCCAGTGGTTCTTCCGCTCGTCGCAACGCAGCTGTGCCGACACCATCAGCCAGCAGTGGTTTCAGCAGGATGGAGACTATGCTTGCACCGTCCTGAAGATCATGCATTGTCTCCGAGAGTGGATGTGAGATCCCGTAATTTTCAGTCATGGCAACGCCATTGAATGGCCTCCGCGGTCACCTGACGTTACACCTTCATATTTTTATTCTCTGGATACACAACAGAAAGATTGTCTTTTAGGACAACCCAACGAGCCGGGAAGAACTAAAGGATGATCCCTTCGAGCAAACATAGGCGGCATCTCACCAGAGAATCGCTACAGAATAGTGGAGGAAGTCAAACGTAGTCTATTCATGCACGCGGCCCGAAATGGCAGCCATGTAGAAAAGCAGCAAATGTGGAGCTACGAGCCAATGTATTGACTCATATGTATGTCAGAATAAAATTTTATAAAATGCTCTTTTATATGATGTCCTATTTATATCTATCCATCGCGTATTTTTGGCAGTGTGGCCAAAACAAATGATGACCTTACTTTTGGGACACCCTGTAAGTAGCTAGTCTATCATTTCAAGTTTACTGTCCAAGAAAGTAAACTGTATGCCACACCTGTCAGCGTTGAGAAAATGCAGAAATGTGCTGTCGATTTTTAGTTATATCGTTTTGTAAAAAAAAAGCGGCCAAATTACCCCACTCTCCCCTAACATTTGCATTGCTTTTGGAAAGTTTCAGTCAGATATCTTCAGAAATGGCAATGTTATCGGCTTTTGCATTTTACCGTAGTCGGTTAATCACAATTTTCGATATTGCAAAGGCAATTTCAGTACGTTCTTGACATCGAAAACCAAAACGAATGGCATCATCGTGTTCCAGAGCTCAAATTGCATCCGATGCACATCTTTTCTTTTGTTGAGAATGTTCAACTTCAAAATTTGGCCTTTCTGACCTCGCCGTGACCTGACCGTCATTTGTCGAATGGAAATAGTTTCGAATCGGACGACCCAGATGACATCATTTTTAGATGCTTTTGCCGAAATGGACCATTAAAGATGTGTCGCATGGCCTTAAAAATGTATACATTTCCTTCCATGACCTTTTCCATGACCTTTTGTGACCCATGACCTTTCCATGACCTTTTGTGACAAAGTTAGGTTTCGTTTGTCAGCTATTCCTATCAGAAGCCGTTTGAACTTTTAGTATTGAACGAGTAGTTTCGAAGACAGCAGGGAAGCTATGCAGAATCCCCTCCCGAGTCACCCACTTTATGGGATATACCCGTCATCCGCGGATTACAAGCAAAAATATTTTTTTACGGCAATGATGTATCAGCATGGATGCTCATACGTTCCCATATGTGACCTTACGGTTGACTTCACATACAATAAAAATTGCTTGGCAAAATGTCAACTGGTTAACGAGTTATCGCATTTTGGCCACTTCCGAACTCAAATAGCGGCTGTGTGCGGCGGGCTGCCGCGGCGGCGACTGAGGCGACACGCCGACCCCGTTGGCGATAACGCCCATTTTACACTAGCTCGGAATGCATTCGGGTTTTTAGAACGCAGTTTGAAGTGGGTAGGCATTTGATGTTTACGAAGATACGATGAATATCAACGTAGGTAACGCTACCTTCTGTTAATTTAATTATTAAAAACACTCAAAGCTAACTTCAACGGATTGTGAAACACAGTGGCAAAGTGATACATAAGAAAATAAAACACAATTCAAACACCATGCCTACAATTCTTGAACTTAAACCCCCTATATCTCTCTCCCTCTTTCTCGCTCTCACCATTTCTATCGTTGGCTTTTTCATTTCTTCGTCTCCTCTCCCGCTCTCTTTCTACGTGCATAAAGACATGTTTCTGGCCAATAGAGGACATTTCTAAGTTACATTTACATTGATAGACCAAACAAGAAAATACTTGACGCATGTTTCTTAAAAAAAAACTTTTCCTTAATCCATTGAGATAGATACATCGCAGAGACACAGTCACTTTTCGAGGGGATTTTTTTTTCGGATTTTAGCGCCCCTCAATGACGTCGGATTTTGCACCGTACTTCTATTTTATTGTGTGGATTAGATAAACTAATTTTGGCTGTGCCTGTTCAATAAAAAAGCAACTGAACGTTTGTAACTCAAAACGATGGATTATGTTTGCACGATGCTTAGCTGCTATAACTATTTTTCTCGGAGATGCTCGATAACATAGATGTCCGCTGACGTCACAGGCAGCCTTCTGACTTCCTGGAGACTGCGGATTACCTTATTCTGCACACTGGGAGGAATGGTGCTGATGATTGCACGTGCACAGACCAGCTTCGCCATCCTGTGCATGGTCCAAGACGAGCTGCCCTCCGAAGGAGATGTGAAAACCTCCAACGACTCGGCTCGACAGAGCGGGCAGCTCGACGAGACCGTGAGCTCGTATCAGGTGGGTAATGTCTGATGGGGGCGGAGACGGGGAAGGGAGGTGCAGTGGCTGCACGGTCAAATGACGTGAAGGAACTTTACCCAACAACTCCCTGTTTAAATATTAGATTCAGAGGAAAGGCTGGGAGTTGTCTGCTGTTCAATATTTCCTGAGTTGTGCCAGATATATTTCAATTGATATTTTACTTCCGGACTATCATAAACGTGTTCTCTTGCTAAATTCAACCAGCATTCATTCGTTTTTTTTCTTATTGCCGATTGTTTTTTTTCGCAACATAATATGCACGTAAAATCTTCTAACGTTGCTTGTATGTCTGCGATAACAAGCATAGGTAGGTATTTAATGACGCATAATGACGTTATCACATTCTTACAGGGAGAGTTCTTGTGGGACAAGCCATTCCAGGGTCTGGTGCTGTCTGCCTACTTCTATGGATACGTGGCTACACTCATTCCCGCCGGCTGGCTAACGGACAGGTCAGAAAAACAGTCGAGGCCACCAGTATTATGTGTGCAGTTTGTTTTACGTTGCCATGGTGTCCCTGATGGCGCAGTTGGTAGGGCATTTGCCATTTGATAAGGGTTCGGGAAGACCCGGGTACGATTCCTGGCCCAATCTTACCAATGCCGTGAATAGGATTTGGCAGCACTGGCCGGAGTTTACGGCACTGATATCAAAGATATCCTTTTTATTTACATCCAGCTAATCTTGTCCAATGATTTTGACAACGTGAATGATTATTTATGTTGCCTGAACGAATGAATAAACGAATGCGGAATAGTTCTGAATGTTACCAAATGCCGTGAATGCGCATTCACGGCATTTGGTAAGATTGGCCCCTGCTGGTGCCGCCCGGCCCCTGGACGCGTCCCTATAATAGTTGCGCCACAGCAGCAGCGAGGTACTTTCTCGCAACAGAGGTAGCCAAAGAAGGAGAAAGAGCCCAGCCGGGAATTGGGCGATATTGCCTTTTAGAGGGAAAAATGTATGAAAAAGAATAAGTAAATACAAGTAAATAGATTGTTCATTTCACTCACGTTTTCTGTGTATCAGGCTCTGAGCGCTGCCCTAGACGATACAATTTGTTTTTCCGATGCACCGCAACAGTCAACACACTGTGCACTGCAACTGTCAGCGCCCCGTTCGGCTGGCACTGTGATAACAGGAGCTCCTGTCACCCCCGCAGACTCCGTAACCACCGGGTGCTGGCTGTCAGCGCGGTGGTTCAGGCCGGCATCCTGGCCCTGATGCCCGAACTGACGCGGCTGCACCGGTACAGCTTCATCGTGCTCAGGATACTGCAGGGCGCCGCGGCGGTAAGTCGGTACCGAGCTAATGCTGCTCTGCCATTGCGACTGGCGAGTGAAATTGTGTGGCAGACGCATGGATTGGCAATGCAGATAAAATGAGTCGTCTTGTTCCGCTGGCATAATACCATGGATAATAATTTGTTGTTGCCATTATTGTAGTGCTTCACATTCAAATTAAAAACGTCCCCACGGCCGGTAGGCCGGCTTCACAACGTTCTGCTATACAACGTAAGACTTCACTCGCACTTCGCTCGCTCGTAACCACTCTGACTGCTGTTTGCTACTAAAAAGTGACCGTTACTAAATTATGAACACTCAAGTTGCCTAAATAGGCTGCATGAGCAGTAGCCTACATTTTTATAAGCGAATATTTTTTTTTTATAAATTTGGGTCGAATGTTTAAATGACGGAATCACGGAGCCAGAGTCCACGCTAAGCAGTTGGTCATTTCATTTCATTTCATTTTGACACATCATTTTGTTCTTTATTAAAAATAATTTAATCCTATCTTACGAAGTCACAGTGCTGCTTTGTTGGCTTGTATACACTTACGTACTGTTTTTCTTTGAAAAACAATGCCAAAACTGTTTATAGTCACCGTGGCCAAAACATGCCAGAAAGATATGGATTTATGTATTTACCAGATAAACAAGTCATAATAAAAGCAAGCCATCAAATCAAAATACACACGCACACATGCACGTCAATAGCAAACAAAAATATTTCACCTTCAATGACATTTTGAGAGGTGTGGGACAAAATGAAGGTACGAGTTTACAAATCCCAATATATCAATATCTCGTAGGTAGGTTACGAATCGCCATGCATAAGATATATATAACTAGACATACAATGCGATTTTTCTCAATCAAAAAGTTTGGTGCTGATGAAGTAAAAACCTGACTTGTGTGAAATTACCAGAAGTATATCATAATTAGTACTTTAAGACACAATTATGACACAATTTTTCATTGTTTTGACATGAAAAATCGTTATGTAGTTATGTAGAAGTGTTTGTCATCCGAAATTCAAAAGCCAAAAAATGTTGATCTATTAGTTATTGTGCACAGCTCGATATCAAGTTCAGCACCAGCTCCGCACTCCTCTTTCCCCGACTTGCCAGCCAATTTAGCAGATGCTTGTTCTCTCTCCCTCTTTCTCTCTACAACGTAATCTATATTTTATTTAATATCTTTTTCTTTCTTTTTTCCTTCTCCCAGTGTTACCAAATCACGAATAATTGCTGCTGACTTATGGGGTATACTTGCACAGCTGTCCGTAAGTGACCATTCCCTCTTGGACGGTGTAGTCCAGCCAGAGGCCGGTGTCGCGCTCGGCCAGCACGCCCAGCTGGTTCTGTGTGTTGTCGTTGGGCTGACCTTCGCGCCAGTGGTCGAAGTTGACCGGGGTGCCATCCAGCCAGCGGAACTCCTGAGAAATAGCCGGTCCCGTGTGCTCCAGACCGATCCAGGCTCCAGCCTTTCTCAGTAGCGTCTTCACAAAGTTGTTTTCCGCCTCCGAGTGGATTGAGGCTAGTTCAGAGCCAGAGCGTAGTTGGCGGCATGCTGCCTTCGATGCGTTAAAATCCAGTCTCCCTAATAAAAAGGAAAAACAGGTCCCTTCCATTGCGTACTCTATCCAGTTTGTATCGCAGGTACTGGTCCTGTTTCCAAGCAGCTTGCAGACGCCTGTTTGAGCGATTTCGGAGCAGGCAATGGCTTCACAGCCTGGCATCAGCAAGCAACGCATGCCGCATTGGACGCAGCTGCCAGCGGCCGGCGTGGCCAGCGTGCCGCGGCCGTGGTCGCTCCAGTGTAGTACCGGTATCAGACGAGCCTCTGAGCTGGCCATCCCTGATGTCATCATGGATAGCACCATCATCAGCAGGGACAGACACAGCTGCGCGGGAGACATGCTGGCTTGTCTGGACGGAGCGAGTGTAAAGAGCGTCCGCTGCTGACGGCACGGCGGCTCGAACTGTTCAACTTGAAGAGCCACAGCACAGAACTGCTACCGCTCATGTTTACTTGTGTGATAATCCTTACCCTATGATAGGCTTTCAAATAGATTAGTCGCACGTTTGGGTCGTTGTAATACATTATTCACAATGTTTATTTATTTATTTATTATGTATTTATTTGGGATCAAGGACAACAGGCATACGTGGGCCCATTTAATGTCCAAGCACTCAAAACCAGTCAAATGTTACACACAAACACTGGGACAAAAACATTGCAACTACGATACAATTTTACAATTCTTTTATATATGTTGACACACTGGCCCTAAGTTCCCAGTAACCCTCGCCCGCACATGGGGGGGGGGGGGTGGTTGCCACCACCCCCAGGTAGTCTTTCTGCTCTGCACTCAACATTTTTAGAGCTAGAGGGCTGATTTTTGGTATAGCTGCTCCTCTATCCTTTCTTGATGTCCACTGAAAATTTCAAGTTTCTGTGATTTTTGGTTTCGGAGATATGACCTTGTTTTTCAGGTCGTGTCATGACCCAAATGGCCAATTCTCAACATCTTGCGTTTGCTATAGGCCTTGTGAGCTTTTGACACCTTGATTTCGGTCTTTTTTGCCAGTCTTACCTCCCTCCTATCATGGAACATGTTCGACGATGTACAGGTGTCAAGGTCAGGGTCAAGGTCAACCTAGGTCATCTAAGATAATTGCGTTTTAGGCAAGCTGAATTTACTTTTTGTGAAGTTTTTTTGACTGCATTTTTGGTAAAAGCTTCTCAGATCATGATTTCATGTCATATGGACACAAAAACAATCTGTGCACACATCAGTATACACACAGACACACACAGACATACAAACACATATAACTGACCTTGACCTAACTTGACCTGAAATGACCTCAGCAGCAAAAATCTGGTCGGGTAGTGTGACAAAGAGGTTCTAGCTGGCTTGGTACCAGAAAACGGCATCGTCATCGGTATATGCTAAGCAGCGCACTTGATATCCAACGGTGACCCAAAACAGCAACATTTTTTAGTTTGACCTGACCTGGAAGGTCAATGACTGACCTGAGAAGGTAAAATCGGGTATCATTGGATTCGTCTCTTCCCAAAGAATCTTTTTGGTTTTTACCGCTAAGCTCTATCTCCAACAGGAACGAAACGGCGCGGGGGTGGTGGCAACCACCCCCCCCCCCCATGTGCGTTCTAGGATGGGAAAATGGCATGTGAGGGCGAGGGTTAAAACCCTCGCCCCGTTAGGGGGGCCATTTTGGCCCCCCCCCTGTGGTTTTTCCTGAATAGCAAGAAAACGCCGCCAAATTTTCAGTACCTTCCCGGGCATCAATTTGACACCTTCACACCAAATTTCAAGTCTTAGGTCACCTTAGGTCAGGAGTTATTGAGGTCAAACTGAGGTCATGTTTGAGCAAAAATGAGCAAAAAACATGCAATCTTGAAACGCTCACCAAATCTACAGTTATCAAGCAATTTCAAAGTTCTTTATATGATCTGGTAGACAAAAAGTGGCGCTACAAAACTGCTATCTCGGATTTTCAAAACTTTGGGTTTTTGACCCTCAAAATTTCAAAAAACTGATTTTTTTAGAAAAACTAAAAAAATAAAAATTTTTCCGAATTTCGAAAAAAACGGAATAAATGTGATAGTCCCTGTGCTCTTCTATATACATACCAAATTTCAGATCGGTATCTCGTTTTTTGGCCAAGTTATAGCGAAAAAACTGTTCAAAAATGATGACGTCAAATTTTTGAACTCAATTTTTAGCGATTCTAGACCACGTACGACAAACCAAAGACCACTATTGAACTCCCCGTGACGAGCTGCATCGATTCGATAACCATTTTATGCAAAAATATCAATTTTGAAATTTGACCTAAATTGACCTGACCTTGACCTGACCTTGACCTGACCTTGACCAAAACGTGACCTAAGCTGGCCCCAAAGGCTGCCTGACCCACATAATCGCATTTGTCATGTAAAATGGACCATAAAACATGTATCACACGACACTTTCATATTGTGACCCCCCAGTGACCTGACCTCTGTGACCTGACCTGGTATCAGTGACCTCAAATAGCAAAATATGTGTTTGAAAAACATTTCCCCATCGATGATTTTCAATGAAATGCATTTTACTCGATTTTACAACGCATTTCTTGAAATGCCTGTAAACGGTGAAAATTGGACCTTTGACCTGACCTGTGACGTCATCGGTTTGACCTAGGTCAATAAAATTGGGTCACAAGGTAGTTCCCTGATAGGGCTATCCAACACCGTTTGCCGCTTGTCGCTAGGTTGCGTGGTTCTCGAGATCTTAGGGGGGCCAAAATGCCCCACCCCCAACGGGGCGCGCTGCTCGGCAGAGCCCAACGGGGCGCGGGTTTAAGAGTCATGGAATACATCAGCATCAGTACACTGAAACAAAAACTTATTAACAAACGATGGTGCTCTAACAAAAGTGACCTCTGCACCTCGTCTACTCTCGCAAATGGAACATGAAAGACACCACGTGCTTGTTCGGTGTTTCTCGTTGCCCTTGGCGCGATAAATAGAGGGAAATGGGCTAAAAGGGCTGCACAGTGCACAATCAGTATCATTTTTATACAATTTGGCAACAAACATAATTTTATATTGTCGACGCCTATTCTCTAGACATGCGACGCCAAATAATCGCAGCAAGTCACTGTAATCGATAGCTGATGATGAGTCTTGACATCGAGTATAACAATATAGCCAATATAAGAAACGTTGCTGCACCCTTTCTATTCTGTCCAGGTACGTTTTTGCGGCACCTCCCCAAAAAGCACATCAATACTCGAGAATTGCTCTAACGTTACCATAATATGCTGTTAAAATGGGCTTCCAGCTAAATGTTTTGAGTGACTCAGGTCACTTTCAGGTCAAAAAAGGTCAAATTTTGAAGTTTAAATTTTTCAACAACAAAAGTGTCTATTCGATGCAATTTTAGCTCAGGAACACGATGGTGCTATTTATATTGGTGTATGATGTCAAATATGTACT